TCCTTCCTTCCTTCCTTCCTTCCTTCCTTCCTTCCTTCCTTCCTTCCGTTTTATTGAGCTCCTAACACAGTCAAACTGAAGGTCAGATTAGTGGATGTTAAATAGACAAACAATGCCACATTTTAAGCCAAATCAAGGCAGATAGGAAGTAGACATTAAGAAAGTAATTTCTAAAGAGTTAACGGAATGAATGATTGAACCATTGGACCAGCTGTTGAAAATTTAAATAATGATCGTAGACTCATTTTTAATTATATAGATGCAATATTTGCAATCTGCATGATGAACATAATTCCAACAATTATTGGGAACCTCTGGAATAGGCAGGACAATTTTTTTGCAGCCATTTTTAGTCTTAAACTCCCTGAATGCTCCCACCAAATACCCAATTTATACACACAGCAGTTTTTCTTAAACCATCAGAATTGACTAGAAAAAAAATGGGTACAACCAACCAAAATTTGGTGCACCAAATTTAAAACAGAAATGTCTGTGAAAGTCTGACTCACAGATGAACACTATACAGAAGCCTGATGATGGCAGATGAGATTCTGCTGAAACGTTGCTACAACTTTAAAAGCACAACTATAATGATGTGGGAGAATACCCGAACAAAGCTGAATACCATACATATAAATACCTGTGAAAACTTAAGAATATATATATTCTATATATATATATACACACACAGTATATATCTTCAGAGGAACAAGAAGGAGGGGGTCTACAAGAACTCACCATGGGCAACTCGCTGCAGCCAACTCACTGCAGCCAACTCGCCACAGCCAATTCGCCATGTGATAAGACTTACACTAAGGAAAAGGGGAATAGAATCATTAAAGAAAGGATGCCAAAGGAGGGAAAAATGAAATGTGAATGATAGAAATTAAAGTAAATTTTTAACAATTTTATTTTATTTTTTTTTAAATAAATTTTATTGATTTTACAATTAAAACAAACCAACAACATATACATAAATGAAAGAGAGAAAAAGAAGAAAGGGAGAAGAAAATAGAAAGACAAAAATAGAAAACAATTAAAAACATTCTCATCTTCAACAGTTTGTAAGACTTCTTTTTTATCCTTATTTTATGCCATATACACACACCCAATCCTTACATATATCTGTGTATCACTACTGTGGATTTATCCTATCATCTTTTGCCTTTTAGTGTGAAGTCTATCTTTGGTCTAACCATTTGTACCAGCAGTTCCAGCTGTTGTAGTATATTGAAGTGTCTTTATTTTTTAATGCCAAAGTTAATTTGTCCATTTCTGCACAACTTGAAATTTTTTGAATGATCATCTCCTCTGTGGGAACATGAGGCTGCTTCCAACATTGTGCAAAAGCCAATCTGGCTGCTGTCAAAATGTGTATTATTATATATTTCACTTTTTTTGATATTTGTTTATCAAAGATCCCTTACAGAAAGGACTCTGGTTTGAATTTGATCTGTTCTCTTGTCATTTCTTCCAGCCATTTTCTAATTTTCTGCCAATATTTTTGAGCTTCTGTACAGGATCACCACATATGAAAAAAAGTTCCCTCTTTTTTTTTTCTATTTCTAGCAATTTGGACTCATTGGGGTGCATCTTCGCTAATCTCAAAGGAGGAAAACCTTTATAGGCGTTTTCTTTGTATGCTACCGATTTTGTAATTTTATTATTTCTACCCCAGACCTATTCCCATTCTGTTATAGTGATGCTACGTCCTATATTCCTACTCTGATAGAAATTAAAATAAATTTTTAACAATTTTAAATAATGAAATTGAATTGCTGAATTATCTCACAGCGAGTTGTCCTGTGGTGGGTTGGCCATGGCGAGTTGGCTGTGGTGAATTGGCCATGATGAGTTGGCTGCAATGAGTTGTCCAATTCTGAGAAAGAAATGCATTAGTTAGCTTGCTTGCTTGCTTGCTTGCTTGTTTATTTATTTATTTATTTATTTATTTATTCATTCATTCATTCATTCATTCATTCATTCATTCATTCATATTTCAGTGTAAGCTAGATATATAAGGAAAAGGATGATAATTTGTTAATAAATTCAGTGTGTTTGCTTATACTTTTCCAAGACTTCATTTTATCACCAGTAGACATAGATGCCTGGTTGATCCACAGTGACATCATGTTCTTCATGACATCCTCATGTAAATGATACAAGATTTGTTATTTGCACTACTTGCATCATGACATTATCGATGTGTTCAACTATGTTAGGATGTCATGACAATATGAAGTCCTTTCCCCCTATACCCCATGAGTAAGCATTCTTTTTTTTTTAACCTCTGACATCTACTCTTCTTGGCAAGATTAAGCAGAATAAGATAGATTTACAAGATGAGGTGGATAAGTATTGCTCAATAATGAGATGGACAGCATGTACATTTAATCAATAAATAGATCAAAATTAATTCAAAAGGTTGTTCCCCCCTTCTTATTGTAAAATAATGTAATAATAAATACAAACATATGAGAATTGTTAAAAGTTGCTTTAAACTTTTCATTAAAATATTTTCAGTCCTTGAAAATCTGGATGGCCAAGTCCTACCAAATGGGTCGCCTCAGGAGGAGCTTCAGCATCAAATCAATTCCTATTCTTTTGAGAAGGTGCAACAGTATTATCACAAGCTCAGGTACTATACAGCATCAAAAGAAATCTGATTGTAAATAGTCTTGGCAACTGAATCAAAAATATTCTTAAAAAGTGCATCCAGGTTTGCTACCCTCACACTTGCCAGTTCACATTAGTGAAGATAGGAAGCTTTATTTTGCTACTAGCAATCGGCTATTTCAATGGAATTCATACAAATTAGAATCCCTTTCAAGTTTTATTTTGAATGTTAATAATACGTAAGAGAGAAGGAGTTCAAAGAGAGAAGGCAATGCAGGATTGGGCCTGGAAATAGACTATCAAAGCTGGTTTTGGGATGAGAATGAAAAGAAACAGGAGAGAAAAAAGTAGTGAGCTCACTCGATAACTTGCATGGACTCTCATAATTTCAGAAAAATTGGAATTGGAAATCTAATTTTTAATTTGTCATTTTTTAGACCATGCAAGTATAGCTAATCCATGTGTGGCCTCTAGTAATTGTCCCAAAGATTGTTTTTCAAGAGACAATTGGACGTTCTTGTTTTTCTTTGAAGATGTTTTGCTTCTCATCCAAAAATTAGGGATTTTTCATGGATAATAAGCAAAATATCTTCAAAGAAAAACAAGAAAGTCCAGTTGCTTCTTGAAAAACCACCTTTGAGACAACTATGACCTGGTTGACTGAGAATCTCCATAGACCATGTAGTACTTGTTTTCTTTTGGAAATTAAATACATTATAGGAGTGTTTAACATTATATAATCACCAGCTAATTATTGTTTAATTTCAGGGCATTTTACCTTGAACGATCTAACTTGCCTACAGATTCAAACACCACAGCTGTGAAAATTCATCAGGTATAGAAACTTTCTGCTCATATATTCAGATATTTGGCAAAGTGGGAACTGGGAGAGGCTGCTACTTCAACTGTTAGGATGAAAGTTGGTGCTTCTAACCTAACAGTAACAGAAGGAAAGAAATCAAGCTTAACCTATTCTGTGAAACTGGTCAAACCAGACCTCATCATTAGCTAAAGCAGGATTCCAGTACCTGGTGCCTTCCAACCTGATCCCGCCTGTATTTGAAAAGTTATTGGATGAAGGAAGTCAGCATAACCAAATGTTTTCACCCAGTGCAAAATAGTGAGATAACATTTTTCCAGTTGTCCTTCATGTTTCTTCATACATATGTGTATAAATAAAAAAGGAATGTCAAACTACTGATGTTCCAAGGTTACTTGTGGCCTAGCTGTTTTTGATACTGCATGAGTAATATGGTCTTCCAGTTTTCATTTCATAATCCTGATCTGGTTTTTCCTTTGGGGTTGTACCACCAAAGGAGTTCTAGAGACTCCAAAACATTTTAGGGATCCAGTTTTTTTCCTCTTCCCAGGTCTAAACTCAGCTTTAAAGAATAATTAGGATTGGGACCTTCTTGCACAGACAAAGATTCAAATCATTTCCTAAACCATAAATATTCATCCAGTTCACTATTTTCTCCTTATGGCTGCTTCCTCTTTAATTAAATGAAGACCTCCAACATAACTTTCCATATAGTCTCAATTCTCAACAGGCTAGCATCTGTGTCCTATTCTATTCAATTGTTTATTTTGTGCCTTTGAGTCAATTTTGACTCAATCCACGCAACTGCCTGGATTTGTTCTTGCAGTTTTCCTGGCAAGACTGTGGAAGTGATTTGCTGTTGCCTCTTTCCTAGGGTAGAGAGAGAGAGAGAGAGAGAAAGGGAGGGAGGGAGAGAAAGAGAAAGACTGGCCCAAGGTCACCCAGCTGGCTTTGTGCCTAAGGCAGGACTCGAACTCAGTCTAAAACAGTATTCTAATTTGGAAACTCCTAGAATTGCACAGGCTTTTTTCCTAGTTGCCAAGAGTCACCTGAAGCCCAAAATAATAGCAACAATAATACTGAATAGTTATTGTCTTAAGGGATCTCAAGGATATGGGTTTCAGAAAGGAAAGGGACTAAGTTATACTGAGACTAATTTTCTGTTCTTTTGCAGCTTATTCGGCCCATCAATGCAATGCAGGAGCTTTGCAGATTAATGAAATCCTTTATCAGCACAAAAGGCAATCAGTCTGGGTACTCTAGCAATTATGTAGCAGGGGCTGGACTGCTGCCTATATCTTCTGAATTCTGCTACCGTCTTGGAGCCTGCCAGGTTGTAATGTGTGGCACCGGAATGCAAAGGTGAGACTTCAGAAGGAGTGGGATCAAGAATGAAGTGCAAATATTAGCTAAATGTCAACTCATAAAATATTTCTGTGGTCTTTTAGAGTGCCAACAGAAAGGGGGGGGGGGAGCAGTGGGCGGCTTGCATTCCATAAATGTTTTCAAAGTTAGTTTCTAGGCAACCAAAGTTTCTGCCATGCAAAATTCTAACTGGAGAGTATGATTGATGACTCTTGGCAATGGATGTGTCCCATTGGAGAATATGAATTATGATACAGCCAGGGGATGGGGGAAAACCAGGGTCAAGAGTGACAATGAATTATGTGTCTCAGAGTCTGCTATACCCAGGCAACACCGGCATGTTTACTCCTAATCTTCTTTTAGTTTGAAAATCCGACTAGAGACTCATGATTTAAATGGGGGTAACTACCGGAGTCCTGACACTATATTCCTATCCATATCTTCTAAGTTCTTCTCAGACATCCATCCTGTGCATTTGAATAAACTTTCAGAAAAATGTGGGGCGCGACAGCTCAGTGGTTAAAGATGCTGAACTTTTCAGCTGTACAGCTGACAGCCTGGGTTCGAGACCCTAGCTCTGTGCAGTGGGATGAGCTCCAATTAGCTGCCCCAGCTCCTGCCCACCCAGCAATTTGAAAGCATGCAAAATGCAAGTAAATTAATAGGTATTGCTTTGGCATTCTGTGCACCTATGGCATTTAGGCTTGCTGGCCACATGACCATGGAAATTGTCTTCAAACAATTCTGGTTCCCTTGGCTAAGACATGGAGATGAGCACCATGCCTTAGAGTTGGACACAACTGATTGGGAAACCTTTACTTTTTTGCAGGAAAAAAACGTAGAGCAGGATGGGGAAAGGTTTTTAGCCCATATCCCACACTTGGTTTTTCCATACTATCCTTAGGGTTGCATTTCCTAAAGTAGGCAAGAACAAGATAGAATGAGTGGGACCAGGGCAAAGAATTGGTAGGGACTGCAGCAAACCCAAAATAATAGAATTTAATGGAAATGGGGAGATATTAAAATTATATAATATTTAGTAAATGCATAAATGTAATATTCAATCATTTTACCCCTATGGCAATCCAAATGTTTAATTTGGTGATATGTTTTGAAGGATGGTCTGGGAGGAGTGGAGCGGGTGGCAGCCTACAGGATATGAATATCTATGGAAGGGGGTAAATCAGCTTTTCTGACCAAGTGTTGAGTTTCTGAATGCAATGCTCTTTGTTGTTATACTGCTAGGAGCACACTTTGTGTGTCATTGGAACAAGCAGCAATATTGGCTCGAAGTCATGGACTCTTGCCCAAGTGTATCATGCAGGCAACAGACATAATGAGAAAGCAAGTGAGTATTAATGAAGCATTCAATAAATAATATTAGCAACCCTAAATTTCCAGATGGGACACTAAATATGTATATTTGTATGCACTCCACAGAATTTTTATATGCAGAGCACCACATCGTTTAATGATACAAGAGGTAATAAAAATGACATGCTTATGATAACTATTTACAAACCTATCTTGCTTTAAGCAAGACAGAAAGGTTTTGATTTCCCAGATGTTAGCAAATTACAGTTTTGCTTGTCCTTCGTCACTGGCTCTGCTGATAGGGATTTTGCGAAGTGGCAGGGAAGCAACTTCTGAAAAACCACAAGTTACCCATCCTTGGTTTCAAGAGAGAGGTGCAGTGTGCGGAATATCCTCATGTACCCACTCAGGACACTTGTCAGTGTCCTGTGGTATTGTCACTCTCTTATGAGCAGCTGCAAAACATACTAAGACTTTCATCTTAAGCAAGCACAGAAGACTACTCCGCCAGGTCCCTCCTTTTCAGAATTGCTTTATGGCTATGAATAGATTTTTCAAATGAAAATAGTGTGTTTCTACTTTGGTGTTCCTCTAGAGCCATAGGTAACTATTTTTGTATGGTTTTCTTTAGGGACCAAGAGTTGAAATCTCTGCAAAAAATCTGAAAGTGATGGATCAGATGCCGCAATCTGCACCCCGGTAGGTAACTAGGTTCAATAGCAATAACACTTATACTTACAAACCTCTCCAATCTGGGTCCTCATTTTACCGACCTTGGAAGGATGGAAGGCTGAATCAACCTTGAGCTGGCCAGATTTGAACTCCTGGCAGTGAGCAGAGTTAGCCTGCAATATTGCATTCTAACTACTGTGCCAGCATGGCTCTGAAAAAAACTTTTGGAATGCAAAGTATTGTTAAAAGATCAAATCCTGAGACACTATTGGGATGATTTAAAAGCCACAATTATTAAATGCAGAAGAAAGGAACATAAAATTGGACTGTTTGATCAGGGATAAATAATCTGTTTGAAATGAGTGGTAACTTCTAATGGCTGTTACTGAACCAGGACTAAACAGATGAAGATTTCTGGATTGCATATATAAATACAAGTTATGTTATAGGAAGGGAGGGTTTTTTTGCTTGTAATTGTAAAAGAGGATGAAAGGTTTTATTATTTAGTGCTCAGTATGCTGAAGGTTGAAAGTCACTTCTTTATTAGTATCTTTATTTCTTCTTCCTTTTTTTCTCTTTTCCTTTCTTTCTTTTGAATTTTTAAACTTTTTCTTTAATCTTTTATTTTAATTTGTATTTATGTTTACTATGTCTATTAAAAATTTTCAGTAAAATTATTACCAAAAGAAAAAGAAAAGAAATTGCTAACTTTTTAAGTACACCATAACTAGCAAACCTGAGAAACTGGCTTGTGTTGTCACTGACAACATTCCCTTCTTTAATTTTCAATATCCTTTTTCAGTCCATTTTGCTGTTAATCTTGTCAGCAAGTCATAGCAAACATTGGCTATATTTCAAAGGCAAAGTAGTATTTTGCATGCAAAATATAGTCGAAGTAAATGTCTATGGAGATTCCCAGTCATCAGGTCATGGTTGTCTCAAAGGTTCTTTTTGACAAGGCAACTGGACTTTCTTTGTTGGATGAGGAACAAAACTCCTTCAAGGAAAAACAAAAAAAGTTCAGTTGCCTTGTCAAAAGGAACCTTTAGGTATAGTTGAAATCAGAAAAACTTGCTAGTAACTACTTGGCAGCTGCTGAAACAGTAGAGGACAAAATGGTCCAATGACCTCATCAACACAAATTAATTTTGCATGTCCATATCATTGAGCATTCCAGAAGGGAAAAGCATTCAAATGAATCTTTACATTTCGTAGGTGAATTAGAGTTTACTTTTAATCACCTATGCCTTTGATGGAGGTAATTTAACACACCTCTGTCCCAAACAGAACCTGACTTTTACCCCAGGCATTTGGGGGGCATTTTAATGGAGTCATCTCTTGATTTAATTATGGTGTAGGTTACCAATTTACAATCTGTATTTTATGTTAATATATTGTGTGCATTTTAAAGTTAAGTGGTTCTTTTTAGGTTTATAGTTTGCTTTTTGTGGTTGTACACCACCCAAAGTCATGTTGGTGTTGCACAACCTCATAAACCCAGTGATAAATAAAACAAAGTAAACAAAATAACTAGATTATCTTCAGATATTGTGGACTGCGTCCTAATTGTCTACCTGCTTGAGTGAATATATGAAAGTTATGGGAGTCTAGGGTCTGGAAGGCAAGACATTGAATATGGCTGTTTTAAAACAATTTGGTTTACTTTGGTCTGCCACATTATCCTCAAGAATCTTTTTGTAACACCAACTTCTTTGTCACATTTTTTACAGAATCTACCAGTTATGTCAACCTCCTACAGATGGAGACTTGTAAGAGGAAAGGAAACCGATTATCTTGGAGTCACAGAAGTGTTTAGCAGAGAGCAATTCTGCCTGAGTACTGTCTTACGCCAGTGGTGCTGAGTCCAGAAGACAGGGGACAATCCCAATTTCTATTTTTTAGATAAGGTGCACTAGGGATTTCTATTTCCCCTTGTTTCCTGCGAAATTATGGAATCAGACATATTTACTGTTTCTGGGCTCAATGCAGAAGTTCACCTCTCTCAGGTTGCCTGACATGGAACATTGTGGATTCTGAATTTTGGATGGGCAGAGAAATGATCCAAGCAAACCTACCTGCTATGGTGTTTGGACTACATAGAGTTTCTAGCAAAATGTTGGCCAGTTGCCTTGAATAAGAGTCTCACAAACACTCACTTGCACTTTGAAATTTTGAATGGCACACGTTCTCTGTTTTGTTCAATTTTTTCACTTCATATTAATATGAACCAAGCTCAACTCTATACAATACACATTCCATAAGACTTTCTACAAGAAATTCCTTTTAATTTTTACTGTAAAGTTCAGAAGTTAACACATTAAAAAAAACTAATGGTCCATTATGTATTCTGGAAATACAGTTATATTTTACCAGTAAAAATAACAATGAAGGATTTTTTTTTTAAAAAAGAAGTTGTTACAAAAGAGAAGCAAGGCGCAGCTATTTGCTTCAAGTAATTTAAACATGAAGGTTTTTGAAGCAATGACAGAAATATACTTATTTATATGGCAAAGAAGATCTGTTTTGGAATATGTTGCTATATATGCAAGATTTAAATAAAAAAGTATTTGTTTCAAAGGGGTCAATAGACTGGTAGATATGTAGTAGTTTACTGAAAATATTATTGTGATATGTAAAATATTTAAAACCTTGCAGTATTTAAGTAGACTTTAATCAGGTTTTTTTTTTAAAAAAAAATAGAATACAAGTAGGTTGTAATTTAAACAAAAATTTGGTTGTGTATATAATGTACTTAATTTTTCCCAATGTTAGAAATGTTTTTAGTTTGATCAGGATGATTACTAGAATGGTCATTTACTTTTAAATTACCGTCTGCAATGTAATTTTTTTTCTAAAAAAAAAAGAAGAGCAATCTCAGGCCAGAAATAACATTTTCATGGAGTGAGTGCCTTAAATTAATTATCCAAGTCGGTCAAGTGACTAGGATAAATTAAGAGGAATAAAAACTAATACTTGTCTATATCAATAATAATTTAACAGCATAATATGCTGTAAAATGCATATTTCTGGGCCATGCATAAAAATTCCTTAAAGTGACTTGTATTTAAGGCATGCAGAAAAGGATTGCGTGGTGGGGGAGGGAATCTTTGAAGAGGGCATTTAATAAACTTCAGTGTTTGCTAATAATTAGAACTTTATTTTTATGTGTTACACTGAAAATGGCTGCCCTGCTTCTACCCTAGTTGAGGAAGTTGATGAGGAAGAAACATGCTGTCATATCTTAATTTATTTGTGATTCTAGCAAAAAGTAAAATTTCATTTCTGATTGGTGCATAAAACTATCGTTTATTCATATTAGAATAAATAACTGTCATATAATTAAATGGCCAGCAGATGGCAGTCTTAGGCTTTCTGGCAAAAACCACTGTACTACAAACACCACACCACCCCAAATGGATTTTTTAAAAATCCAAAATCCTTAGTTGAAAAATAACTTTTAATAGTTGCTTTTAATAAGTTACTGAATGGAACTCATTTTAAAGTTAGTAAAATTTTCTGGAAGATTTACTCAGCAAACTGAAGTATTCATCTTAGTCCATACTGCTTGGGTGCTATAACTGAAATATAAGAGTTTATTCTCCCCATTATATACAGTAATATGGTGAGCATCCAAATATAGGCTAATTTACAAGAGTTTATCCAGGATAGACCCTAATATTTTGCATGAGACTTTCTGAGAAAATTGCATCTAAGTGCACAATCAACGAAGGTCTTATTTGTGATTGCTGAGCTAGGGAAAAATAGATTTAAATCTAAGTCTTGCATCAATTAATCTGCATGGCCCAACATCAATTAATCTGCCTTGTGCCCTTCAGTTTCATTCAGACCATTGTGAAGATTGATTCATGTAACTAATATTGGGGCTTAATTAGAATGTCAAGAATTCCGTTGTCGCTCTTGCCTCTCACGCACCCCATTGAATGTAAACATTGTGCACCATAGGTTCAGCTGCCAGACTAATGTACAAGCATGGAACACCTTATGGGATAGCTAAGGATTCCTTTCAAAGGAACTGGTCTCTTGCTGTTTGCCTAATTCACATCTTTCATCTTCAAGCCTACATATTTTGTATTGTTGAGGATATTGTACAATGGCATGTGAGAATTCACCAAGTCTATATTCTCTAAGCATTGTCCAGCGCACAGAAGCGGACATACAGATGGGAAAGTGGAACTACATCTCTTGCAACAACATTTGCACGTTTGGAGAATGCCTGTAAGCCAGAACCAAGTACATATAATGACATGGAAAAGGTCACAAGGCCTGGGGAGAGATTCAGTAGAAGAACAAAAGTGCAGTATCGGATACCAACTATAGAGAGCTTGGTGTAAGAGCTGTTTTTTTTTTAACTCCAGCTGAACTCACTACCTTTCTACCTGTCTTCTACATCTAATTCTCCAGGTATGCTAGATGTCAGCTCCCAGAATCCTTAGCTGTAATAGCCATTGCCTAGTAATGCCTAAGTAGCTGATGTCACACACTGTTGCTCTGAAGGTGATCAGATTTGGGTAGCATAGTAAGCGCTAGGTGAAATTACCCTATGCAATTATATTGAACACCCATTGCATTTTTTTTCATGGTTTCTTCTCTAAGAAGCCTGCAGCTGACAGTTCTCCAATCACAGCACTGAAAGTAGCTCCTAGAAGCCCCCTTACTCATCTCTGTCACACAGGGTAAAGGAGCAATCACTTCTCTTTATAATAAACTTATATAGGGTCTTTCTGAAGGCATGGTTTTGCCAATCTGGGGAAGTAACAGAACATATTTTTATAGCAATATGTAACTGGCATTTTCAGATGTACTGTATGTATATAAAAAGTACACCATCCCGGTAAAGTTAGCTCCAGTTGTTTTCTTTCATTTTTCCTTGCTGTATTGCTAATGGTATGTATATGTGTATGTGATAAGATAAATGAGGTAATACATTTGATGTCTAACCTCTTTTGTCCATTCATTGATGATCCATGTGGTTTCTATGGTTGCTGGCTTGTTTGCCTCTCAAATTGGTTTGCCTCTCTTGTTTGCCTCTCAACTCTCATAACACAATAGAAAACTGATGAATCGAATTTTGTTTTTTTGTTTTTGTTGTATTAGTCTCTCAAGCAGATATTTGTCTATTATGAAGTGACAGTTCCACCTTTTAAAACTATGCTTTTCTTTAAAAAAAGTCAACATTTCCTGGTTTTATAAACACAATGAGAGAAGATTCTAATTCCTTTCTGCTCTGCCAAACCTCACACACACACACAAATTCATTTGGGAGATCTCGGTAAACTATCAGTAGTTAAAAGCAGACCTGATGCATTAAATAGCAGCTGCGTTTCATTAATTTCAAGGCTCCTTATTGACATAATGAAGAGAATAATATGGAAAATTTGGCATTTGATTCAGACATTACGTTACTGAGAGTTTGGGTTTCATTTTCAGTGCCCTTTCCCATTAACTTTGCAAATATCTTCACTAAAAACTGCTGGAGAACTTTGTTTAAATAATAATAAAATGCAGCCCATAATCCAGACCAAGGTCCCAGAGATCTACATGAAAAGGCAGTATGTGATATCATTCCTGTCTGTATCAGTGAAGACCTACGTGGTCATAAACTCCCACTCATCAAGATCTACAGCTAAATCTGGATTGGATTTGGGCCTGGCTAGTCTAGTGAAGAGAAGGACCAGGGGAGACATGATAGCAGTCTTTCAATATTTGAGGGGCTGCCACTTTGAGGAAGGGGTCAAGCTATTTTCTAAAGCACCCGAAGACCAGACAAAGAATAATGAATGTAAACTGAACAAGGAGAGATTTAACCTGGAATTAAGGAAAAACTTTCTGACAGTGAGAACAATCAATCAATGGAACAGCTTCCCCTCGGAAGTTGTAGGAGCGCCATCGCTTGAGACTTTCAGGAAGAGATTGGACTGCCATTTGTCAGAAATGGTGTAGGGTAGTGGTGGCTAACTTTTTTGGGCTCCTGTGCCAGAAATTGTGCATGTGCTTGCACGCTTGCGCTCATGTGCCAGCATCCAGAAGGCAATGTGCCCCCATGCCTCCTACACATGCATGTGTAATCCCCACCCCCCTCACCCCCTTACCTGCACTGTAACTCGCAGCTTATTTTCGGCTGGTTTGAGGACTTTTTTGGCTTCCCAGAAGCTTGAAGAAGGCTTCTGCAGGCTTTGGAGGCTGAAAACTAGCCCCACTTCATCACTTCCGATATTTTTGGAAAAACAGGAAGTGATGAAATGGGGCTAGTTTTCAGCCTCCAAAGCATGCAGAAGCCTTCCTCAAGCCTTTGGGAGGCCGAAAAAGGCCTCAAACTGGCTGAAAATCAGCTGTGAGGCACGCGCATGCGTGGTAAGTTTGCCTGCAGCTCACACGCCATGCAAATGGCTCCGTGTGCCACCTGTGGCATGCGTGCCATAGGTTTACCATCAACACCTGTGGCACATGTGCCACAGGTTTACCATCACGGGTGTAGGGTCTCCTACTTGGGCAGGGGGTTGGACTAGATGACCTACAAGGTCCCTTCCAACTCTGATTATCTGTTAAGGATTTGTTTAACATCCCAGGGTAGGCTAAAAAACTGGGTATTTTGTGGTTGAAAGCCCGGCATCTTTTACCATGCTAAGTAGCCTATATGTTGTGTGTTAAGCCATTATCAGAATGTGCAAAACCAAATATTCTTAGAATGTTTCAACAGAGTTCTGGAATGTCCTGTTCCTTCTTCTGACCCACCAAGCCCTCTGTGATGTAGTTTTTCAAACAAATCAGCCTTGTTTGTGGAGTTAAGCCTTGTGGAGAGCACTACAATCACTACAAACTACTTCTAATTTGAAGGATTAATGGATCACTCCAGAATAACTGGCTTAATGTAATCTGAAGAAGGATTGGATTATTAGCTTTTGTAGATACCTAAGCCACAATGTGGTTTAGTTTGTTGGATATAATATGTAATGTGAACACAGCAATGTTATTCCAGAGATAAGGTAGATTCTACTCATACTTAAAATTACAAGTCAGTTAACATTGTTGAATTTGGATAAAATGAAAACATTCTAAATGAATAATTGCAGTTTCTACTGCAGAAAAGTTCTAGATTAGTTCTAGGTTAAGCATTTACTGTAATACTAAGTTTAGTGTGTGTACAAGTGGGGGAACAGAAACAGATTTTTATTACACTGATCTATGGTTTGCTTTATCATGGATTATTGAATAAGTCACAATGGGTTAGTTCATAATATATTCCCAGGCTGAAACATTTATTTATTGAGTGTATATATCATATATACCAAGGGTCTTCAAACTTGGCAAGTTTAAGACTTGTGGACTTCAACTCCCAGAATTCCTGAGCTAACATGACTGGAGGAGGAATTCTGGGAGTTGAAGTCCACAAGTTTTAAAGCTGTCAAGTTTGAAGACCCCTGATATATACACTCTCAATGGTTCACAACCTAAAAATTAATAATAATTTATTAATTACATGCTGCTCAATTCCCAATGCCCATGGAAAAAAGAAAGAAGCCTCAAATTGCACAGCTGCAACTGCCATCTTTACCTTTTTTGACAGGATGGAAATAGTATATTGGATTTGAATGAATATACTCTACAAATTCTTCAAAATGTGGAGGTTTTTTTTAAAATTACAAGTAACTGCTATAATGAATTTA